CCCCCCAGAAAAAAGCGACACAAGGATCTTTTCAACAGGGCCCAACCTGAACTAAATTAGCATGCTATTCGGGGATGATATTCAAAGATATTTGGAGAACAAAATGGTGAAGAAAGTGAGCTGAAATGGAATGTCCATAAGACCATAAGGCAAATAATGAGAAACCCAGCTTTATTGCACTTAATGTTTTCTTTTTTTTTATTAGCACCAGAAACTCGCAGTCTTTTGACCATAAATTATTAAGGTTCTACCATATGACAATAGTCTCCATGCATCAAGAATTTTCTTCTTTCGGAGGAGTGACGCGACGAAGAAACCAAATGTTATATTGACACTACTAATAAGGAATCATAGACAGTTGCAGTGTCTTCTCATTGTAATACTTTTAGTTGAAACTAAACTTCACTGCCTATATTGCTGGGATCAATGAAAAACATTTATTCGTGAAGGCCAATTCAATCACCAAATACAACCATCGTTCGAAAAAAAAGCTAAATCTATCTATATCACTTTCTTTCAGAGCTTACCAGATACGGATAATTGGTACAAAGATTGAATATGATTGAGACGATTTGGGAATGAAAATGAAATGTAGTGCAGTACATGATGCATACAGCTAAAATAGAAAGGAAAAAAAATCTTAACCAAACCTGACAGGAATAATTGGTGGGCAATGTTTGCGATATGAAGCGGTACTCTGCGTGATGAGCCTTCACGAGAAACAATGCCCTGTTAAAACCATACGAATAGCCATAAGGAAATAAAAAACCAATGTTAATGCAGCTGCAATATGAATATATTCATAGCTTATCAGTCTCACCAGATCCTTCACGAAGATATCAAGTGCAGACAACGGTGTATAATCATTTTCTATCATGTGTGGCCCGCGATTCTCGAACATCCTGCAGCAAAACACAAATCCAAATAAATTCCACTGTCCACACAATTACACAAATCTCACGTTACAGATTAAGAAAAATTTCTACAAATAAGTGTAAATAGCTCTATGTTGAATTAGGATTGGGAGAAACAATGTAAGGAGGCAAAGCAGGAGGCAAACCAGAAATTTCTCAGGCATTGGTCAATGTTTTTAGAGCACCCAAACCAAAAGGTTGGTACATCATGTTTGAACTAGAACATTACAGGAGCTCAGAACCTCATTTTTGAGAATTAGAAGACACCATATAAGTTAAGCAAGTCTGCTGGTATTAAAGCAAATAAAGGTGAGGTTTTCTAACATTGTCTCATTTCCAATCACAGATGAATTAAACAATATGATTTACTGCATAACACCATGGGACAACCCAATATATATGTAAACTCTCTCACAATTCATGCACAGAAGACACTGACCTCCCTCCAGAAAAAAAATAAAGAGAATACTTGAGACATGCATATTTACAATTTCCTTTTTTACAAAGTCCAACTTTACTGGTAAAAAGGTTACAATAAAATAATAGTGGTGAAGCATTTGCTAGCATCTCTCAAAAGACTATTGTTGAAGGCATCAATCAATCAACTATTGATGAAAAAATAATTACAATAATAGAAGTGTCCACTCTAACAATGTTTTAATTAGATGTAATGATGCACACATTTCAACAGAGTATAGAACAAGCAGTCTTAATTTGAGTCTCAAATCTGTTAAAGATACAATTAAATGATGATAAGTATCTTTTTAACTAATTTAAACTTTTAGATGAGGTGGTAAGTACAATTCAACAACTATTTCTACCATGTCCAAAGAACCAAACAACAACTCATGCACAAGATGCTGAGATGATTCCCTGAGGAATAAAAGTTTTTCATGGTTGGATAAAGTCAATCATGAGTGAGCTTCTAAAGATGATACTCACAGGCATAAGGACCACTATTACATAGAAACATCTATCTTTTTAAGAAATAATAATTGACTTTTCATCCAAACTAAATTAGAAGACAATGTAGTTGCCACTCTGAATCATAAAAGGAGTCCCGATATCCAATCTCTCTATTTATAGGACTGGCTTTCTTTATTCAGGATTAAAGCATTATAAAGTTCACAGCTACAAGATTAGAGAAATTAGGTTCAGGGTCATATTTAATAAACTAATCTGACGCCATGTGCTGTTAAAAAAAAAATAACATCTGAGCACTGCACAATTTTAAAAAAAATACTTGAATGGAAAGAAGGAAAATGTTTTCTTCAATAGCTATGAGTTACCTACCAAGATGTTCCCCCACTATTTGCAATGACATCAAACAATAGTCTTGTATTAAGACCCAATCGAGCACCAAATGCCATTGCCTCAGCAGCTGATGCTATATGAACTCCAGCAAGAAGTTGATTGACCATCTTTACAACACTTTTGGATCCAGCATACATATGAAATCAACAACTGATGCATTAGTTCCAGAATAAACTCATTCAAGAAGCAACAAATTCATTGATAAGGTGAAAAATGATTGGAGAAGTATTGGCATGCCCAAATGAGCTAACTACAATGAAATCAAGTGATACAGTGAGGCCAAGAAAGATGGTACTCAGATTAAAATTACCTGGCAGCTCCACAACTTCCTTTTATAACATAAAGCTTCTCACTCAATGCTGTTCAGTGAAGCACACAAGGATCAGTACCTTAATGGAACCATTTGAAAGGAAAATCTCATAGTAACAACTCAAAGTTAATGTAAGAGCAGATAAAAGATTTCACTTCTTACCAGAAAGAACTGAACCAGTGTGCTTGAGAGCTTCATCTGTACCTGATGCCATTATCTAGCATTGATGTTACAGCTTCAGTAAGTTACCACACAAGTTCAGCGAAATATAAATGCTTTTGAAATATTTATAGTAATGACTAAAACGGAGCTTTGAAAGGTAAATTCCATTTCCGCACCGTAAGGGTTCCGTTAGCGGCCCTTTTAACCCCACCAGAAACAGGAGCATCCACTAACTTCAATTTCTTCGGGTCACCTATGTGAATGATAAAGGAGAAGCATCTGTGAGTGACAGGATTGCTAATATGTGAATGATATGAGGATTAGGCTCGAAATAAAAGAAAAGGCCGTATCTATCATAAAACTGGAGAAAACTGAAGCTTTCATAATCTCTAATTACAGCTGGCGAGAGAGTACAACTGAAGCATCAACAGATCATTAAATTAAACTTAGTTCTCTTGAAATTGGCAGTTACATGTGGAATCCAATCGATAGGCCTCACACTGCAGTCTACTCTAAGTAAAAATGCTATCATATTATATGAAAAGATAATCCCCAAAATAAAACTTAAAAATAGAAAACGAGTGGTCGCAGGCGCACGGACACAACAAACATTACGAGAGAGTGCACGTGAAGCATCGACAGATCATTAAATTAAACTTAGTTCTCTTGAAATTGGCTGTCACACATGGAAAGTGGATGTATATTCAATCGATAGAACTCGTACTGCAGTCTACTCTAAGTAAAAAAACAGTATCATATTATCGGAAGGATATTATCCCTAAAATTATACTTAAAAATAAAAAACATGTGGGTGTGGGTGTGGGTGTGGGTGTGGGTGCACACACATAACAAAAGTCCCTTTGGCTTGAATTAGCTGTTTTCCTGAGTCATATATAAACTCCTTGAACCTAAAAAAGAATGAACTAGCAAATGCCAGGAAATGTATTACAGAAATGAAAAGCAAATTTCAATGGAGTTTGAAAGGAAAAACTTACTCTGCAAGCGTTTCTCGAGCTGGCTAACAAATGATGGAGAAACTGTTGATGAGAGGATAATAGATGCTCCAGATGGAAGGGCTATAAACAAAAAGAAAGATGGTTAGTCCTGTCCATAGATGCAGAAGTGAGAGCATAGCATTTACCTGGCACAGCGCCTTGATCACCATAAAGAACACTTTCGGCTTGTAGTTCATTTGTGACCATTACTACGAGTACATCTACATCTGAAACAATTAAGGGGGCAAAACAAATATTTAAGGTGAGCAGTAAACAGCAAGTAGCATATAACCCATAGCATCAAACTTTTGCTAGGCATGCTACTCGTCAAAAAGTAAAGAAGCAACTTTCAATCACATATTAGAGACAGATGATTTTGTTGGTAAACTACTTTTACGCTGGACTTGTTGAGCAGAAAACAAAGCATTATCTGAGTTGCGCTAACCAAATCCAAGAATGATAGAAGCCGAAGTCCAACTCCCTTCTCATTTTCTTCTTGACCCCAGGGAGATGGGGTGGCCTTGGATTTTACAAGATTGCTAGTCAACCTTGTTCTTGCTTGGTCTCGTCCAGGCAGTAACTCATACAACCTCCTCTTCAATAGTATTAAGAAATATACAAAAAATAGAACTTAAAGCTCTTTCCCAAACAGACAAGATTGTCAGATAAAACCAGATCTGAAAATTCTCGTCAGTTTGTTATGCATACCGCACACTTCAAAAAGCATCTTAATTTACCTTGAGATACTTCTGCAGGAGTACTTCCAGTCAAGCCACCTGCATCTGCAAATCGAGATAGCGATGGTGGATACACCTACAATTTCATGAGAAAAGGACCATCACTTTCACTTAATTATTAGCTTTAAATAAATCACAACAAACTTCAGCAAATAGAGGACAATACACAACACGTAAGCAAGTGGATACGCTTCAAAATGTTTTGTAAGTGAAGGTGCTTATCATTATGGCAAATGCACAAAATGTGTCAGTTAAAAAAATGAAGGAAACCAATATTTTCATTAGGCCAACGAAAATATGTCTTGCAAAGTCATTTCTAGCCTCCATTTTCTAGTGGGAACTCTTTTAAAGAATCGGAGACAAACAGCCACCAGTGCAGACAAAATCTTAGATATTGTAATACATTGAAAGTTTTGTTCCACCATCACTTAAAGTTCTATCATTCCAAGTCTCTGTGGATGTAACAGTGGACAAGGAAGGGCAAAAACATCAAAGTTAGCTTTTCCCTTCTCGGTTAGTGGAAGAAAATACTACCAAGTTTCACCACCACTTTCTTTATCCTTAATTTCACCTATCAGAGTCACCCAAAAAGTGAATCACCTTCTCTAGGTTTTCAAAGGGAAAAAAGATATTCCTCGAAAGCCATTATCCTAAACTGTGACATTGCTTTATCTGCACATATTTTATAGGTTTATACATTTTACCCAAATTGAAATCTACAATTGTTCTGATGCACTCCCTGAAATTCAGCCTTGGACTGAGTAGTGTGTATGTAAAAAGGTTCACTCTCCAGAACATTCAAAATCTCCTTTAAATGGAAAATGTATTATTTTCCTTGAAAGTTGGTGGAAGGAAAAAGCTATTCGTTGAATTAGGTAGGATATCTACTCCAAAATTATATTTTGACATGGAACTAGTCCAGCACCAAATATAAAAGATGCAAGGCATTACATCAAAACCAAGGACGCAGAAATTTGATTTCAGCAGTTGAGTTGCCATGCCAAATCCCATAGCACCAAGGCCAATGAAACCAATTCGCTTCACAGTATCAGATTGAGAAGTAATTTGACTGGCCAGTTCCTCAGGGTTGTAACTTTTAGAATTGACTGCATCAGCTATATTTACCCCAAGTAAACTTTCCCAAACCTGTAGAACACCATGTTAGTAGCAGAGAAAAAAAGCTCCTGCATTAGAGTGTGAAAACCTTAAAAATTGACCCATGCACTCAAACCTGACCTTGAGCAATGTAGAATCATCATCACTCTGTGCTTGGGGATGTGACGATCCTGTAAATAAAATGCAAAGCAACTGAGATCACATCTGAATGATACTATTGTCTTCCACGAAACTAAAAAATGAAGGAATGTGTACTATGCCTGCTATAAGTTGCTGATGAGCAACCGTTAAAAGTGGAACGGGGAATTTATGTGCTTTCGCCATGTCCAGTACGTTACCCTGAAGTGCACCAAAAAAAGAATCAGGAAACAGGAACTCTGCAGCAGTCAAACAAACCACGATACAGACAGACATTAGTAAGAATTTTCAAGCTGTATACAGTGGCAACACCATGAAAAGAGAAAAACCAAGCAGAATATTTCAAGTTATTCCCTTTGACCCATTAAATTAGATTTTATTTCCTTTTTGGCAGGTTTTAAAAAGTTTGACCTATTTTCTTTATTGGAAACTTTTTCTCCCTTCCAACTCTTCAAACTAATATGAACAATTATCACTTCATATAATTTCAAACTAGATGTGACATCCTTTTAACTAACCATTTTGCATTTTCACATTCCAAAGTATCATTTTAAGCAATTGTTACCAACAACAACAACAACGACCCAGTGTAGTCCCACTAGTGGGGTCTGGGGAGGGTAGTGTGTACGCAGACCTTACCTCTACCCCGATGGGGTAGAGAGGCTGTTTCCGAAAGATCCTCGGCTCAAGAAAACGAAAAAAAATTGGGGGCACAATGTAGAAGCTACTCTGTGTCTATCAGAGCCAGGTTACGATCCTGGGACTTTAAGCAATTGTTACCAGATATATATAAAAATCTTTTTTCAAGCTTCTAGTCTTGAACTTCAGACCAGCCCAAAATGAGCCGATCTCAGAGATAGTTAATAATTAAGGAAAACTATTAATGGTAAAGCAACACTGAGAAGTGCCTTTCTGAAAGAATGTGCATTTAAGACTTAAGGTTTCTCCTTCTGAAGATCGCATCATCTGCTGTAACCTACTATAAACCATAAAGATATTATTGACCTCGGATAAGAAAGAGCATTTCATCTTACAGCAGAATCTGAAGGGTAATGTCATCTCTCAAAAGAAAAGAACTATGGCAACCCAACACAAGAACCTTACCAAATTTTGAACGAATATGTTGAGAAAGAGATGTTTGGTTTGGTTGCCCCTCAAAAGCTGGGGAAGAGAATTCTTGAAAACCCTGCAAAATATGAATATTAGGAAAATCAGTGCATGACAGCATGTGCAACTAGTTATGTAAAGTCAACTGAGGACAGGAGAAAGAAAGGGCATAGTATCAGAGCAGAGTCAATTATAACTAAAATATCAAGACTTCTACAAATGACGAATAATAAATCTTTCAAAAACAATTAACTTCTCGTGACTCATTGAAAACATAAACAGACCCCAATGACATGACCATGTGTACACCTACTCTATCAAGCTTTCAGCGTAAGATGCCAAACTGAACTGCTCGAGTTGACAACACCCGATCAAACTCCCAACTGTAATCATTTATAAACTTAAGAACAGAATCGAGCATGAGCATGCAGCAATAGTTTTGAACTTGAACAAAAAAGTTAATCTTTAAGACATATTAACTAACTATCCCTTAAAGTCATTTTTTCCCATGACATTTTCCTGCAGCGATAGTACCTGGAAACTAAGTGAACAAGTGCAAGATAGACTTTAGCAACTGAGTATATGATTGAGAGACAACAGTGATATGCTAATGTTTTAATTCTTTTTGGAATAGTAAACTATCTAATTTAAGATATTACATAAAACACCTTCAGAAAAGCCATGAGGAGCTTATCTATTAAATGGGAGAAAAATGAAAATGATAATGCAAATGCAGTCACCAAGAATTTCCAGCAGCATTGGATATTATGTCATAAAGTATCCATGGATGAATCCCAGCTTGAGCACCGAGACAGATGGCCTCCACCGAAGCAACAGAATGAATTCCTTCAAGAAGCTCAATCACCATTTTAGCTTTGCTGCAAGAATATTTGTAATAGATAAATAGATTGCCAAAAGTTTGTAGACAAGACAGATAGACATAATGTACCTTCCGGCACCGAGTTCGTCAAAGGTGTATAGCTTTGCGCACATAGCTGTCCACAGAAAAAAGATGACTCAGTAAAGCAAAGAAACATGAGAGTAACTAATTCTCTCATGTTATAAAAAGCATAATATTCCAGAACAGCAAGACAAATATACTGCACCAGAAAGAATGGGCTGTGCTCTAGCAATGGACTCTGAACTTCCAGAGGAAATAATCTAACCATCATTGAAAAGAAAGAAACAAGAATTCCAGGCATCAGCAAAGGATAAAAGTACAAGATAAATTCTAATGAACTTCTCTGAAGAGGGAATCACAGGAAAATTTGTCTTACCATAGTTTTATCATTTAGATCCTCTGATACTGCCCTTGAAACATATATATCAACAACGACGTTTGTTCCATAACAATCTACATTAGTCAAAAGAAAAATAGTTCACGATTAGCAGAATTCTGTTGAATTTTTACTGACAGTTACACAAAAATGTAAATCCCTATGTTTCTATCTTCCTCTATTTTATCATCGTTGCGAAGATGTATAACTCAGTTTTCACTTTGAAATATGTAATAGATGTAACTTCACAAAACAAATAATTCATTTCAACTAAACATAAGATGTCACATGCATAAACAATCATAGGCATGTGCCCAGTTCACCTTGATAATTCACCCACAAAGAGCAAACATGAGAAATCACGAATCATAATGCCCTGCAAATCATAGCTTATGCACTAGTGGGATATCATATCTACATCAAATTCTCATCACTAATGCTAGTTCATCTTATAGAGTAACATACAACAAAAATATCTTCTTTTGTTTGATATGTCTTATCACAGATATATTCATCTTGAGGTCCTACTTTGTTTAATCTCATGTGTCTAACGAATCATCAAATCTATTAAGACTACGTGCACTAAAATGCAAGTCAAGCTCAATTGGAACAAGAACAATAGAGAGCAAGCCATAAAGCAGTATATAGCAAGAAGTCGGAAAGATTCTGCATAGTCTACAAGAGACACAATAAGAAAGGGGTCGCAAAAATGAAACATGTATCACTTCTATCTAAATACTGCAGAAATATGAAAATTAGGCAGAACAAGATATTGCCTCTTAGAGTTAACTCCAGCTTCTGAATGTGTGAAGGTAATACATTTGAATGGAAAATGATGACCGTGTCTTTGCTTAATCCTGTAAAGCAAGAAAAGAAAACATTAATAGTAACGAAAGAAAAGGCAAAGTCATTGCACCTTCATCGAACTGATCGGGGAGCAATCTGGGATATATACTCTGCACATAGACATTTACCTTTTAAAACACCCTTGTCACCCAGAATTAAATCATTTATTTGGTCAGCATGAGATAGCAAAATGACTAGTGCAGCTACACCTGAAAATGGAGAAGTAATATCAGATAGTATTTCAGTACATAGCAAGATGCCAGGAGAAACTGTAAAGAACTTTCACCATACAATGTCAAGAAAGATAAGCATAAACACTGTTGCTTCTCTCCAACCTACTTACCGGGTACTGCAGCATGTTTAAATGATGACCTCAAGCCATTCATAAAAGGAATTATTAGACAGAAGGAGAACCAAGGCAACATCACCTTTATTAGGTCTTCAGAAATCATGAGAGGAAAAATACGAGATTATATTGGTGGAAATTTGTTTGGGACGCTACTAATAGAAATATCTGACTTTCAAGGTCAGTACAATATATAATTTCCCTTATATTACCAACATTCTTCTTTGCTTTCTTCTAAAACATGGTGTTATAGCAATAGCGCGCCGAAGAAGATCTTTCGATCAGAAAAAGGGAAAGAAAGACCAGTCATATAAAGACAAAACAGACAAGAAAAGTGGCAGACTACGTATAGAAAGACAAAAGCTGACACTTTGTAAGGTCAAGATCAGCAGGAACATCCGCCCCAGCGAGCTCAAAATGGGCATTTCCAGTCGGTTTTGAGTATCTTAACATAATTTGACTTATGATGGAAAATCTATTTAGATTTGAGGTTCACAGAGGAAATAAGCCACCGGAAAATTCGATATATTAGGCCAGAGAAGGACAAGAGTTAAGTACATGATGGTGATACCAATTTAAAGAGTTGGAGAGAAAACTAAAGAAGGAAGAACAAAAACAAGAGAAGGGCGCAAACCAAGAACAGATTCTTCAAACATAAGAAAAACTTTGGTCTAAACTAAGTTTTCAGGAGTTTATCAGTGATTAGTACATACTTTCAACTGGCAACTATTACTTAACCAAACATTAGAACAAAAATCTGAAATAGAAAGCTGGGGACAGGAAACCTAAAGAAAATGCGATTTCAGATCTCACCTTTCCCCGCGTCAATAGAGTTGGTACATACTTTACCACCTAGCTTTGAGAACTTATCAACCAAAGGACTGCCTGCCTGTTGATACAACATACATATCAAAACCACATATAATAAAGGAAATTAACAATCTTAAGCAGATTTCAGTAGAAAGGAAAGTTTTCTTTATAACATCTTGAAGATCAAAGCAAGAAACTTTCACTTCTTTTTTCACAAGTAGAAAGAAAATTTAACATCTTGACATTCAACAATTCTGTAACAAAACAAATTATTTACATTTCTGGCAAGGAACAAATACACTGATAGTAAATGAAAAAGATTTCAAAGCAATTCTTTACTTACACTGACCAATATCAGTTATTGATAACTGAAAGTGCTTTTCTTAAAACATTTCTTCTTATATCACAACTTGCTAGTGTTTCTTTCTGAGATTACATTAGAATAATGGGGGTTTCCTCGGGTCAAAAATGCTTGGTTAGTTTTCTCTCTAGACCAAACAATAGATGAAGTACAGAAATGCAGTAAGTATTTAACAACTCAAACGTAAAACTACATAATTTCAAACATTTTTTGAGCAACCATTTCTCCCTGGATGGAAGAGAAAGGCGGAGCATATCAAACTGAAAGACAAACTGAATTAGACAATCTTATGCAATGTACTTGTAATGTCTACATAATGTAGCAGGAAACGTAGTCTTCTCTTGTTTGACAGTTGAGTTGCTGCTAAATTTAAGCATTTGAAATATCCACTTTAACTGCGTTTGATATTTTTCCTAAAATACATTGTTCAAAATCTGCTTCTTCTGCAAGAATGTTCCTCTCTTATATGTCGCATGTTACAGGCTAATGGCTGCAGGCAGTCCAGAGTCACAAACAGTAAACACAGTCAAAATTGTAGGGGGGGAGTATCAGAGAACAACTCAAATTTATCCGTAGTGTCACGAGAAATATATATGTGACAACATCCAATAAAAACCACCAATGGGAAGTTTCTATTAGAAACCTGAATGTACTGCATAATGTACATGCATCCCTCTCCTCCTTCCCCACCCCAGAAAAAGAAAAGAAAAATGAAATCATTCAAACCGTTAAAATAAATACTGTTTTTAAAATTCTTAAATTTTAATTCAAGATATTGATAAATCATTGCCTGAATATTCAATAATGATCTTGATGAAATACATCAACCTCAGCATTATCCCTTTCTTAAACTTCAAGCTTGACTCTCATTTACTTGGATTTCTGTACTTCTTGACTTCCAACTTTTCTTTTCTTTTTTACTCATACCAGTTCTTGTAGATAATCCCGTACTATTACAATTTCTCCCTAAGTCAAAAAAGTCCAATATACTTTATCCAATCCTCATTACTAGAATGATCCAAAATCAAGAAAGTGTGGAATCAGAAGAAAACCCTTTCTAAAAAAATCAGAAGTAAATATGATCAAGAAACAATAGGAACCATAGTAATTGAAAAGAACAGGAATTTCGTTGTTTGAATTAATTGAGTAACAAAAGAAATAGTAACAAACCTCGAATGCCTGGGCAGAGTAACCAGAACGAAGAAGAGAAGTAGCTAATTCCAAGCTGATATCGTCCAAGCCGATGAACCCAATTACACTCTGCGTAGCCATTACTGAAGCAGAGAAACCTATGATGTTTTTGCGAGTAATTATTTGTGTAACACCTAAAAAAAATATAGAGTTTTTTGCGTGGAATGCGTTTGGGTTGGCATATACTTATATAAAGAAGGTGATGGCCTGTTTATTATTTCATGTGTCAGGGTCTAATTTAGAAACAATAAATACGCGGATGTCCTGGTCCTCGTGAACATATGGGAGGAAATCATCTAGACAACTCTGATCATCAAAACTTAAATAAATGGAAAGAAATCACTTAATGTAATCCGTCAAGTCTATTTATGGCTTTGGACAAAAAAAAGAAAATCAACTACTAGTATTTTTATTCCCTAGAATTAAACCTGAAATTTTATGATTTTCAATATTGACATTAGGCTACACCATTGGCTACATAATATTTATGTAGATAAATAGCATCATCTAACTTTTTACACCTTTACAAAATTTCAATTGTAAAATTTTATAATCTTTATTCCAACTTCATCAATCATAGTCATATATTTTGGTGCTTTCTTTTCTGCATTCCTTTTTCTTTTTACTTTTTTTTTCTTCTGACATCGTCAGGCATGAATCATTTAATTTAACAAGGTGGTGCAGAGTGCAACCAAGTAGTATACTATTATCTTGACATGATCCTATTTCCAAAATTATACTCCCTCCGGTCCAAAATAATTGATTTTTTGGGTGTTTTCACACAAATTAAGAAATCCACTTTTTAGCATTAATTAGCAATGGAATTGACCGTACTAACCTTTACTATCTCACATAAACACTCCTAACACATATTCCAACACAATTTACTCCAAGGACAATGTAGGAAAAAAATAATTAATTCATTCTTGAAATCTGGAAAAATCACTTATTTTGGACCACAAGAAAAAGGCCAAAAAATCACTTATTTTGGACCAGAGGGAGTAATTTCTAGTTAAAATATCATGGTATAGCCAGTTTTCACACTGGTCAATGAAAAATAGCCAGCGTTTACCAAGTCAATGAAAAATAGCCACTATTTTGCTGCAACAGGGACCGGTCCAGTATAATATACGGGAGTTCTGGTGCATTTGTGTACGAACTCCAGCATATTATGCTGGACCGGTATACTTTGCTAAGCTAACTCCTGTAAAATTTGCGGGAGACTGGAGTACCAGTGCTCCAAACTCCAGTATATTATACTGGACAATTATACTTGCTGGAACTCCCGTAAAATTTACGGGAGTTCCAGCATAGTTATCCTGGAACTCCCGTAAAATTTGCGGGCATATTTTTTCGGATTTTAAACAGTGTTTTCGCTCAGATTTAAAGTGGCTAAATTTCGATGACTTTTGAAACTTGGCTATTTTTCAACGACCAGTGGTAAATCTGGCTATTTTTGAATTTCTCCCTAATTTCTATCTGTCTTTTATTTTATGTTATTTTATTTTTCTTTGTCTATCGAAACCTCTCTAACTCGCATGATAAGGTCTGTGTATATTGTTACTAAAACTGTATTGTTGTAAAACCAATAAAACGTTAAATTTTCTTAAATAAAATCAGAAACAGTAAAATAAGTAGAACCAGTTTAAAAAAATAAATTCTGAAAAATAATATAGGAATAAATCGAGCCCACTGAATACACAGTAATTTCTTAAGAAAATTATTCCCCTCAAGTAACCGAGGCTCTGGAATATATTCTCCCAGAATAGAACGATTTAACTCATCGGAGTGTTGGTACCAAAAACGTCGATGAACATAGAAGGCTTTATGTGCAGAAGAAGAAGAAGAAGAAGAAGAAGAAGAAGAAGGGAAAGATTATAGCCCATTTGGCACTGTTTCTGAAAAGGTTTGCAACCTTTCAGAACAGCCATAGCTGTTGCAACAGGTTTGACATTGTTTCTGAAAAACAAAACGGATTTAATTTAATTAATTAAATATTTAAAAAGAATTTTGTCCAAAAAGATTAATCAATTAATCGATCTTTGACCAAATCCAAATCCAAATCCAAATCAAAATCCCGAGCTAGCGACGACAATGACGGCGCGAGGCTTGCCTTCTTCTTAACTCTTTAAGAGCTAAAAGATGAGCTTCTCTATATATACACAAAGATTTTCTTTCCTTCTACTAATGAGGGACAAAGTGCATTACTAATTCAAAATTTCACTTCCCTCCATTTCTTTTTCCACCATTTTCCATTCGCACCTCTTTTGTTCTTAAATAACAAAATCCAACAATCCCCCACATGAATGGGGAATGGCTATAAACTTAAAGGAATGCACGGGCGTGTGTGTGTTTTACATGCAAGAATTAATTGCATCTGGATAAGTAGGTTCCCTTTGAACTTTCCGTAGTAAACTTATATCTAATGTACTCGGTCAATCGGTAGATTTAATATCTTTGAAACGTCGAGTTTTGTTGTATACCTAGACAACATAAGTCACAAAATCAATCCTTAACCATCTACGGTTCTCACGGTTGTATTCGTTTCAGCCATGAACACCGCCTGGTTTCATAAGTGCTTAAAGAATGGGCCTTTACTTTCATTCCCCTTGAAGCGGCTTACACTTCACACTCACATAGGTGATTCCTAAACGTGTAATCCAAAAGACACACTATCTGGTCATATCCTACCAGACTTAGCAAATCATTAAAAAGCTTTAAGCTTTATTGACTCATCAAAAAGCCTTAATGCTTTACCTCGTTTTTGAACATTGTCTTCATCACGAGAATAGGTTGAGTTATTTGACAATGTTGAACCGTCATTCATAACTTTGTTTGATCTCTTTGAACATAGCTCTTGGGATCTCCAGTCTGCTAGGTAGAGTTACCGCCATGATGACTTGTCCTAGGCCTTAACTCCATTCCCTTTCATGATCTTTCAACTGCCTCTCTAGATAGGTCTTTTGTAAGTGGATTCGACACGTTATCTCTTGACTTTACGTAGTCAATTGTGATAACACCACTAGAGAGTAGTTGTCTAACGGTATTGTGTCTCCTTCGTATATGACGAGATTTTCCGTTATACATAACGCTCCCTGCCCTACCTATTGCCGATTGACTATCAGAATGTATACAAATAGGTGCCAAAGGTTTGGGCCAAAATGGAATATCTTCTAAGAAGTTCCGGAGCCATTCAGCTTCTTCACCGGCCTTATCTAAAGCTATGAATTCAGATTCCATTGTAGAACGGGCGATGCACGTTTGTTTGGATAATTTCCAAGACACTGCTCCACCCCTAATTGTGAAAACATATCCACTCGTGGATTCAACTTCAAATGATCCGGTGATCCAATTTGCATCACTATATCCCTCGATCACGGAGGGATATTTGTTATAATACAAAGCATAAATTTGAGTATGTTTCAGATACCCCAAAACTCGTTTCATTGCCATCAAATGTATTTGATTGGGATTACTTGTAAACCGACTCAGTTTGCTAATAGCACATGCTATATCTGGTCACGTACAATTCATGATATACATCAAAATTCCCAATACTCTTGCATAGTCCAGTTGTGAGTCGCTTTCATCTTCATTCTTTTGAATTGCATAACTCACGTCAATTGGAGTCTTGGCAATTTTGAAATCCAAATACTTGAACTTGTCAAGTACCTTTTCAATGTATTGACTGTGATAATGCTAGACCTTGTGGATCTTGTGAATTCTGATTCCTAAGATCACATCAGCAACTCCTAAGTCTTTCATGTCGAATTTGCTAACCAACATGCGCTTTGTAGCATTTATATCTTCCATACTTATGCTCATTATCAACATGTTGTCAACATATAAACAAACAATAATTTCATGACCTGGAATGTTTTTAATGTAAACACACTTGTCACACTCATTGATTTTAAATCCACTTGCCAACATTGTTTGGTCAAATTTTGCATGCTATTGTTTGGGTGCTTGTTTAAGTCCATAAAGCGACTTAACAAGTTTGCACACTTTCTTTTCTTTACCATGAACCACAAAACCCTCAGGTTGTTCCATGTAAATCTCTTCCTCCAATTCTCCATTTAAGAAAGTTGTTTTAACATCTATTTGATGGATTTCAAGACCATACACGGCCGCTAGTGCCACTAACATCCTAATAGATGTTATCCTTGTTACTGGCGAGTAAGTGTCAGAGTAAGGCCTTCCTTTTGTCTATAACATTTGACAACAAGTCTTGCCTTATATTTGTCAATAGTGCCATCAACTTTTATTTTCCGTTTAAAGATCCATTTCAAACCTAAAGGTTTATTTCCCAGAGGAAGATCAACCAATTCCCATGTATAGTTATCCAAAATTAATTGAATCTCACTATTGACTGCCTCTTTCCAAAACGCTGAATCAGAAGACGACATAGCTGCTTTAAAAGTTTGAGGCTCATTTTCAACCAAGAATGTCGCAAAATCTGATCCAAAGGAAGTAGATATTCTTTGACGTTTGCTACCCCTTGGATCTTCTATACTTGGAGTATTTTCCTTTGGTTCTTCCCGAGGTCATTTAGGTCTTTCACTTAACGACTCACATTCAGTTTTGTACGGATAAATGCTTTCAAAGAATTCAGCATTATCTGATTCCATTACCGTATTAACATGAATCTCGGGATTATAGGATTTATGAACCAAAAACCGACATGCTTTACTGTTTGTAGCATATCCAATAAAAACGAAATCTACTGTTTTTGGTCCGATTTTAAACCTTTTAGTTAAAGGAACTTGTACCTTTGCTAGACACCCCCGCACTTTGAAATATTTCAAGTTGGATTTTCTTCTTTTCCATTTTTCGTATGGAATAGATTGCGCTTTGCTGTGGGGTACTCTGTTGAGTATTCGGTTAGCTGTAAGGATAGCTTCCGCCCACAAACACTGCGGTAATCCGGAACTTATTAATAAAGAGTTCATCATTTCCTTTAATGTCCGATTTTTTCTTTCCGCAATTCCGTTGGATTGAGGTGTGTATGGTGCAGTAGTTTGATGGATAGTTCCATATTCCAAACATATTTCTGCTCGGAGATTCATATTCTCCACCTCTATCACTTCTAATTATTTTGATCTTTTTATTCAATTGATTCTCCACTTCATTCTTGTATTGCTTAAATGCTTTAATTGCTTCATCCTTACTATTAAGCAAATAAACATAACAATATCGAGTACAATCGTCAATAAAAGTAATAAAATACTTTTTCCCACCTCGAGATGGTGTCGACTTCATATCGCAAATGTCAGTATGAATTAAGTCTAAAGGATTTGAAT